TGAATAATATATTACATATAATATAATAATAATGAAACTTTTAATCTCATTTATTGTAAGTCATATTGTTGAAATAATCTATTTTGGCTTATGTCAGAAAATTATGAACCTACATCTGTATATATACTTACAGTACTGTGAAGCTTCTCAAGAAGCAAGTTTAGCTGAGTCTGTAAAAGAAAACAGGTATATCAAGAGTCTTACCATGGCAGCTAGGGAAACATACACACCAAAGAGAGGAATAGCATTACTGCATGCAGGCTCTTTGTTAGTAAAACAGAACTGATATACCATTCACAAATTTTAACATGAAAGAATCATGCAAGTGTGCATGAATGGACCTGAGGAAATTGCTCGTGGTTAATTGTACAACAATCCGTATGGACTAGTCACATATTACAACATAGTTGTCAAAAAACCATGCAAGCCCATTTGGGGAAATAAAGGAAATAATGGTTATGTGATAAAATTATAAATGACACTGATCAGCAATCATTTAAAAATACACTGAAAGTTTGTGAAAGCCAAATTTAATCTATAACAAGCATATATTTGCATGTTAACACAGAAAACACATTCTCAGGGTTTTCTCATGGGTTTTTTGAAGCTAAGTCAACATTTACCTGCATAATCTATTTTTATTTCCAAACTTCCAACTTTTTAATTCTCTGTTGATGACAATAGACTACAATTTTAGAATTACATTTACTGAGGCTGCATTTAAACATATTGTGATGAGAAAAGGACTACAGCCCCTACTATTATCTGGGGGCAAGTCTACAGGATAAGCAGAGATTTGAAATAGTCAGAGAAAACAAGTTACAGTTGCCATTGAATGTAATTGGTACAGAGTCAAAATATTCCAAAACCACATCAGAAAAACAGCTACATTTTAACTTTTGGATATGTGTCTTTTTCACCACATAGACTACTGCTGTGCCAGCCTTTCTTATTTACTAGCAAGCTTTAAGTATATAGACTGTAGCAACACAAAATTCAGTATGTCCCAATGTATTCCTCATTTTCTGTTTTGGAAGCAAAATTGAAAGGATCTGACTTTTGACTAATTATTTATGGGTTTTTTAACCAGATCTTTGAATTATCTTGAATCCCAGAAACCAGATTTGTATGGGCAGCATGCACCACCTACAGCTGCCAGTTGTCCTTCTTGTGGATGAAATTGGTTTGGGTTTTTTTTACTTAACATGGACATGGTTAGAAAAAGAAGGAGTGTCACAAGAGGCATGACAAACACTAATAACCTCCTGGTCAGTTCTCACTTACTGTTAATATGTCTACTTGATTATAATAATTATGTTTTCTTAAGTTAGAAACACTTAATTTTGCAAAGACAGCCTAATTTCCAACAACAGAATATATTTCTGCTAAAGGAAAAATACCCCTTCCTTATACTCTGTGATTTGACAAGAAATAAGTAAGAGCCATTCTCAGGTAAATTTCTCTAATAAAATGATCATACAAATAAAGCATATTGCTAAAACTCCTGCTTTTTGAATTGTCAAGATTTAACTCATCCCCAAGATTCTTGAATTGCTCTCATAATGAACTACTCATTATTTCCTCAGCTGATTTATGAGAATTAATTTTAATTAGTTATAAGGAAGGGATGTGTGAAGGATTTCATAAAGACCCTGCAACATCATCTAATAATTGATGTAATTAGAAGAATTTCTAATTTCAGAAGACTGACTTACATACTGACACACTAAGAATCCTTATTCTTAAAGAGATTAACTTTCTACTAGGATAATAGAACTTATTTTGATAGCATCTAAAGTGAAATTTTCAAGGCTATTAGTGTTCATCAGTAGCACATGTTGTGTCTGTGAAGGTAACACTAAATGAATTACTGGAAGTAACACATACATTCAAAATGTCATGGAAGTTGAAAACATTTCAAGAATTATAGATTGATGGGCCAGATCCAAAGAGGATTTCAGTCATGTTCTAGGTGTAGAGGTGAACACCAAAGTCCAAAAGGCAATCCCAAAAAGTTCCCCACACAATGGCTGATTAACTTTAAAAACATCTCCCTTTTTTACTTCAGTTCTCCTGGACAATGATGTCATCCACAAGTCCACAACTACTGGATGTATGGTGCTAAATCCAAGAGGAACTGAAAATCCAGATGGACAAAAGCAGAAACTATCTCAAAGATCCTAGAGTTGGTTTCATTTGGAAAATGCAGTTATGAGAAATAGTAGATCTCAGCTTCTACACCAGACTCATTTTTGCAGAGTTTGCCCAGATGGCTCGCTATGTAATTTTTCAGTCTCCCTTCTGATCATGTAATTTTTATTAAACCAATTGCTACAGTTTAATTCTACAACGACTACAGAATAAGGAGGGGGAGGAAATAACCATTAGAACAACACTCAAGAGAATAGGCTGCCCAGTTCCCAATTAAATGCCAAAAACACTACCTTACAAGTCAGAATCCATCTCCCACTCTTCCTGGACCCATGAAAATTTGTTTCTGGCTACACAACCACCTACCTCCAAGAAGGGCATAAGGAGAATACCCTTTGCCAGACTGACCGATAACTTGGTGCTCACTACAGGAAATATAACAGACATAAAACACTGCATACAGTATAGACCTGAAGCAGAATGCTATTGCTATACACAAAGTAAGTGTTCTGCTACCACATCCTTCCCGTTCTTCAGCCCCTGAATCTTTACAGAGCAGTTCCAAATGCTATCCACAAGATATGATTATGCAAGAAGGAATTTACCTTGCAGTCCTGATTCAGCACTTCACCTTGATATGGAGCAGAAATGCAGAAATACTCTTTTGCTACCTGCAGTGTCCAACTCTACAAGGTTTATGGATTGTCTGAGATACACAGCTAGGAATAGGATGTGGGTTTTAGTTACCCTAAGTAAGATAGCATCCCAAAACTGTTGCAGCATTTGACTTGAAGACATACAAATTCTTCATTGGATCTGGCCCAGATGTATTGAGAAGAGCTCTTGCTGAAATTGCAGCATCTCTAGCAACAGTAAATCCATGAGATTGAAAAATTTACCTGCAGCCAACGGTGTGCCTGCTTTTCATTTCTTAATTCCCCTATAGTTCTCTTTCTAGCCATCCTGAGCTGGAATAGTCCAGCTAAAATAAAACTGCTGAATGAGAAAAGGGTGCAGAAAACATTTGGAGAAGACAAGGTTTGAAGGTCAGCTTTACAACAAGCAGAAGAAAGGAGAAAATTAGGAGAAGCATCAGATTCAGGTATTGAGAAAGGAAACATTCAGCACAATGAACATCTTTCTGTGAAAACCATGAATATCTTTATATTTCAGGAGAGAAAAAACAGTGGTTAGGTTAGGTATTGAATTTTGAGAATGGCAAACTGTAGTGAATAGATATATCTTCTAGAAGGCACAATTAAGATAGGATGGAAGAACACCTTTTGTCACATTTAGAACCCCTTAAAGTCTACAGAATTCCAATTTAAATCTCAAGACTTTAAAGCTTCTGAATAAAGACTTCCATGTGGCTCTGCAAGATTCTGACTTTAAAATCACAGTATGGTGTCTGTAAGGATTATTATGAAATATCTTTTTGACAGAAATACATAGCACATAGCTTGAGTATACCAGTTTTTTATACTTAGGGAAAAAAAATCTCTTTAACAAAATTTTCTTCTTAATCTCAGGTGACTACTAGTTCTCCCAACCTGAGGTTCTACTTAATTCAGTTAACTTAAAACTGTCATATATTACAAAAAGATAAGACTCTTTGCTATTTGATGTTACCTTGAATTTGTTTCCCACACTGATGAAACTAAGTTTCCCAGCTTTCTGTTTGGGATCCTTGTTGTTGTTAGTGTTAGCTTCAAACAGCTCTCGAACAAACTTGTCCTTGGATTCACATATAAGAGACTGAAGGGACATGTGCAGAGCATCATTGTTTTTTTCCACAAATTGCATCTGAAAAAGACAACCCAAGAGACAAGATTTGTTTCACTGCCCCAGTTACTTAAGTCTAACAAGAAAATTAAAGAAAACTAAGTTACATACTTAATTCAAAAATCAGCAAGAATATGTGAGGTAAATGTTCAAACATTATTTCAAACACCTTTTCAACTGGATACACAAGACACTAAGGACAGAGAGAAAATACATTCTTAAATTCGAAGGGTGCTGTTGGAATAGTGAAAGCCAAGGTGCCTTTTAAAAAGTCAGTCATGCTTTTGTCAATGATTATCCTCCTGGTTTCCATTTCTAGTACTCAGCATATCTTTACTTGGGAATTCTGAGAGACTTAATTCTTCACTGCTTGTAATATGACTTAAGATCTGATTTGAAATGGAAATTAATGTGCACACTTCAATTAGTACATCTGCACAGTTTGGAAAATGAAATAAAAAATGGTTGTTCTAGTAGTACTATGACTATTTATGTGCATTTGATTTAATAAAAGGTCCCTTCCTACAAACTTCATCCCTGGTTTATTTGAATTGATTCACTAACATTCAGCAGTTAAAAACAATACACTACACTGGAATTCAGAGATCAAGACAATCGCATCCAATTTCAAACTAACAAAATCCTCAATAGCTTTTGGTGTAATTTTAATAGTGATTTTGATATTAATGAACAGAAGAGGTCAAGACTACTTTAAAGCAAATGTGAATTTGTCAGATATTCCACAAGAAGAATTAATGGCAATGAGAATTAAAGGACAAACACAGGACTCCAAAGTTCCCTTGGACCATGAAAACACAAGAGTGGAATATGAGTGCAGCCAAATGAGTGTCCTCACCATAAATCAGACTGTGAGAACTGCCACAAGTGCAGTGAGAAGGAAACTCAAAAAACAGAAAAAGTACAAGGCAGCTATAGTCCAAAACTTTTAAGGCCCAAGCTAAGTAAGTTCCTCTGAGAGAAGGGATGAATTAAGTCAAGTATATTAACATAGCTTCTAGACCAAAGCTACCTCACAGAATCAGAGAATCGTTCAGATTGGAAGGGACCACAGTGGGTCATCTGGTCCAACCTCTCTGCTCAAGCAGGGTCATCCTAGAGCACAACCTTATACCTGATTAGCTCTGACAGCAGAGCTTATGTGCTCAAATCTGACTCCTCTGTTCCTGAAGACACTCTAAGGCATTATTAACATATCATAATGAGGTACACAGTAAAAAGTAGAGCATTTGAAATAAATATGTTCTGATTTTACTTACTATTTTGATACTGGCTCACTGAGTGACCTCAGAAAAATCAAGTAGGTAACACAGAGACTTCCACTTTCTTATTTGTAAAATGACTTACAGAATGTGTCTACTTCAAAACTGCACAGCAATCATTATCATTCTTGGAGTATTTTGAAGTAAATTATAACAAGCACACATTTTCAAATGGCAAAAAACACCTTTGGAAGTAGCTTCCCTCATATACATTGGAGTTACAGACCAGAACAACAAACCATTATGGATCTTCATTTTATCCTAAATTTTTATTTTTAAAAACTTCTGGTTTAAATTTTGCCTTCCTGTGTTTCAATGTTTCTGTATGATGAAAAACAGTCAAAAAAGTACAACAATCAGGATTGTCTTATGAGTGTAGCAATTTCAGGTATTTTGTATTCTTACATGAATGATTCCACTGTCAGTCGAAATGGAAAACATGAAGTGACAGTGACTGCATACAAGGATAAGCATGTTTCCAAAAAGTTACTTTGAAGTCTAGCAGTACTTTTATATCACATAGTATATTCCTCTCCCCAAGATGCAAATATCTTTTAATGTGAGATTTGCAGTAGATTGTGAATCAATATATTTAATATTGACACCATTATCTATAGATTTGATACTCTTACACAAAATATGTCACTAAAACTGTAACCTGAGAGGTGAAAAGAAACTGCCGATTCTATCATATACTCAAAAAAACATTTTCAAAGTTAAGACATATCAGCTTTTGAATTTCTCTTCTGATGAAAGGAAATGTTGTCATTTATATATATATATAAATGAATATATATATGTATGGAGATATATATATAAATGAATATATATATGGAGATATATATATATTAAAAAATATGTACTCCAAAGTGCAACATAAATAGTATTTCATAAGTAAAATTACCGTCTCATAGCACACTGCTCCTGCAAAGTGTCGGATAATAAAGCCTTCATCATCTCTGATATTTCTGTGCACAGCCAATTTTGACTTTCTAGGAATCTGAAATTAAGAATTTGAATTACAAAGAAGAATTACAATAGAGAGTGAAAAAAATATTCTTAAAACACCACCATGATTCTGCCAGGAACACAAGGTGTTAAAAAATTGCATTTCCTCTAAGTACAGTTGTGATGATCACTACCCTTCCTGTTCAAACTATGAGATTCCAAAAACCTAATTTCATTCCCTTTCACACTAGATGCATCACATTGAAAATACAAGTCACCACGATTGCTAACACCAGTTAGTTGATTTTCTTTTTGCCTTTAATCAACAATTTCTATACCATTCATTCCACAGCTGATGAATAGCCCTATCATGTGAATAGGATTAAATAGGAGCTTAAAATATGACTTTAGATAGGATATTTTAAAAAGCAACCACCTAGCTGATCATACACACACTGACAAAAATGCTTCATTGCACAGCAATCCAGTTAAGCAAGATTAAGTGGAAAATTAATGAAAGGTAAATGGATGATAATTTTATTTGGCTTCCTTTGCTTGCATTTTTTCAGTACGTTTTTCATTTCAACAGAAGTCATGAACATAAATTGCAATAATTTGCATTAATCTTCTACACAGTGCTGTATGTTAAAAAATAAAGGTTTTCCTTGTATGATCCCTATTTTGATCTCTGAAGTGCTAGCCAGATATTTCATGTGAGTCAAATATTCTCCAAAGCATGCAGTTTTTGAAAGGAACAGCAAAATAGCTCATCTGATATGACACAAACTAAATTAAAATGTGTTTTTATTTCCTTTTCATGCTTTACATATTAACAAACTTCAAATGTAA